ACCGACGCGTGGCGAACGGCCGACCGACGCCCGCTCTGTTACCACGGCGGGAAGCCGACCACATCTACCGCGGCTGCCCCTACCGTCGACTTTGGCTGCGCGGCTTCCACCCGAGCGACCCACGCCCACGCTACGGTGAGCGACCACAGGAGATTGAAGAGTATCTTCGACGACCTCAGTCTCCTCCGCCTGCACCTCGCCGCGGGTCCCAGTCGCCGTCGCCAGGACATCCAGCCTCGCCGATGCACCGACCTCGTCGTGAGAGCCTGACGCCAAATTCTCGTTGGGAAAACTAAATGCGACAACACCTGGAGGTGGCGTTGCCGAAGAAGACCGATGTAATGAGCGCCCCAAAACGCCGCAGCGCTCCCACTCTTCCGACGCCACGTATCGCAACGACGGTCCTGCAACGGTGCCCAACAACCTAAACGTTGTTATCGACGGCCACGACGCATCAGCACTCGTGGACAGAAGTCCACGAGTGCTGATGCGTCTGTCCTCAAATGGGGACATTATGCAGTAACTCTGCCCTCATTTGGCTCGCGCGCTTTCGACTTTTTCCCGCAAAACACGTTGACTCGTGCTCTTGCGAGTTTTGTATCGCTCTGCATTCTTACGGCGGAATGAAAAACCCTACACAGAAGTTATCTTCACAAGAGAAGAAACTGACACAGTTTTAAACATAGCTGATAAATCTGAAGACGGCCTTGACGTCAGCAGTGCTGAAGAATGGCAGGGTTTGTGAGACGGGGGACGTACCTGTGGGCGTTGCAATGTCCCACTTCTCCCCGAGTACTTTGAAGGGTTTCGTGCATTGTGAGATGTTCACGTTCATTTTCCAGTTCCGCAGGATTTCGGTCTGTAGTGTAATACAGATATTATAGAATGCTAACATGTCTAGCCCAAATACAAAACTATTTTGATGAAAAGATAACTGCGTAACACCAAAAATGAGGTTACCTGACCAGTGGTATGCATGTTGTCCTTAACTGGTTTCACGTCAGTTCTGCGTTTGCAAATGATATTTTTGAGGAATATTTTTTTAATCATTTACTTAGCATATGGTATAGATAAACATCTTAACATAGTATACCTTTTGTTTTATATGGTGATTCTAATTCATGCATGAGAGGGTTAGGAAATATAAACAAGTGCACGATTATAAAGAAGGACAGTTGAAATACAGCTGGGCGTTCGAGCAACATTAGACATCATTGGACGGGTCTCATTTTATGTGGTGCGTGCACTGTAGCAGACGAGATGCAAAGTTAGATGTTTATTCGACTTGACGCAAGGTTCTAATTCGCTTAACGTCAACGGAGAATTCCGATTACCCTGAAGTTTCCATATTTTGTCAAGCACTGCACTAAAAATAGGTCCAGTTGATTAGGAAGGTTAGTATGGTCTGGAAACTATTCAGAAAACTAAGACTATCAAACAGGGTGCACCAAAACTTTAACCTCAGTCAGTGCACTTTAACTATCGAACCAGTCATTCGCTGACACGTTTGCACTCGGAGCTGTGCTGCATTGTGGTCGAGGTTTCTGACCCAGTACTCTTTGCACGCTAGACATCGTATTTTACGCAGTTTAGCACTCATGACGTGTTGAGGGGTTCGCTTTGAAGGTCGCAATGACTGATATACTTTTGCTTGAGATATCAAATCTTGTCTGTCAATGTGCATTTATATAAAAATATTTCCAGGTGTCACGGATCTTTTTTTTTTTTTTGCCCGTGCATTTTTTGATGATTCTAGCTGTCCCTTTAAAAAGTCAAAATTTTAACGTGTTTTTTATTTTACATTTTAGGTAATTTTACAAAAACTTGCAACTATGTGGAGCGCAAGTTCGTCTGCTTCTTGCATAGGGGTTGCGATGATGTCACTATGCCAAATTCTTATTCGCTGATTGAAAAAAAAATGCGGTAGCTCTCAAAGCATCTGGCATTGAGGTGTACCCACTATCCTTTCAATCAAAGCCAATCAGAGCTCGACGTCGTTCTGACGTCACCGCAACTCATGTGCGAGAAGCAGATGACTTGTTCCTCGCATTGCTAACGGAAATAAAAAAAAAAAAAAGGATTTTGCCCTAATATTTTGGCAGTGAACACACAATGAGTTCGTTCAGGTTCCATGCAACCACGCTCAAAACGCGTTGCTATCTTCACTTCTTAATCGACCTTTTTCAAAATTTTACGTCCTTGAATGTCCGCCATTGTATACGCACGTACTCTGGGCATGCGATTTTACGCGAGTGCTGCGTCGGCCTTTGGCGAGCTCTCGGATCCAATCACAGGCGTCGTTCCCGAGAAATGGCGGCCGCCAATGTTGCCTGATGGAACCATTGAAAATGCTCGATTATTCAGTAGTAATTAACTTTAGCGGCAATTGTATCCATAAGTAGTATTGACAGAACACATGTTATGCTCTCGAGATGCCTATAATGTAAATTAATAAAAGCTTATTTTCTCACCTTTCAAGGTGAGGCTGCCAACCGCCGCACCTTTTCTTCGAACGAAGCAACAAATATCACTCTGTGCCTAGGCTTCTCGTTCTGACCGGGAATTTCTGTCAAAGGCTAGCTATATGATCTCCCAACTTTGATGGTGTGTGAGCTTCCAACTTTCCCCATAGCTTGTATTTAGCTTTGAAAAATAGCATAACTGTGCACCCGTGAACCATACTATATTATGTTAGTCCATAGTCACAAAAGATGCTTAAAGGGACCATGAAGGCAATTTAATTTTTTTCAAAAAAGAAGGTATTTTCGCAAGCATTGGGGTCCTGGCATGCCACACAATTTTTTCTAGAACGTTGTGACTCTTATTTCTGTACCTGCAAATAAATTTGCGAAACCGAAACAAACATTCAGATTTCTCCCCTTTTTCGCCTCTGGAAAGAGAAGTGACATCAGGGAGCACTGTCGGCATCGGTAGGATTTAGTGCACACTCAGTGTGGTTCCCGTGGTTCGCTCTAGTGCACGGCGGTCTGTGAAGAAAACCTGGAAGAAATGGACGACAACGCCGGCGCTCGCAAACGAGTTTGAGCTCCCGTTCAGCGACCTCACGCCGACTGAACGGGAGATGCTGCTAAGGACGCAGAACTCTGGATTGGCGACCGATGCAGCAATGCTGCGCATTGCTGCATCGGTCGGCCGTTTATGCAAACTAACGTCGCCCGATCGACCGCACGTCTTTAGCCGACCTTTCGCGCAACCTACTACTGCACATAAACGCGGCATGATTGGTGAGACACCAGTTCGCAAAGCGAACACAAGACGACGCACGAAACCAAAACCAAAAGTCCGCCGCCCCCGGCGCTCGTACCTCTTTTTCTTTTTTTTTTTGTCCATGGTTGCTCGATGCTTGTTACGCGCCCGAGGTAGCAGTGCGGGGTGCGTTCAACCAGTGACAAACGGAGGGATCACTTCAGATTATGCTTTTATACACGGTATGAAACCTACAAAATATTATCCAACGTTCAAATAAACTTTTTTCATCACATCTCACCACCGAAATCGAAACCAAGAGCGCGTCTATCATTTGAACCAATCGCCAGACGAGGAGCCCGTTGTCGTCACGGTTCGGCGCACTTTAGTTCACCTTTCTGCCGCAGCCTCGGTGGGGTCTCGGGCATCATTCCCGGCGCTATTATTACCGCGCCAGTTTGCTCGATTGGTGCGGCACGCAAACTTCTGTTCGGGCTAGAACTTAGTCAACAGTATCTGAGACGTGCCTGACATCCATTTCAATCGTCGAATAAAACTTCGAAACTGCCTTCATGGTCCCTTTAATAAACAATTTGCGTCATTTCAAACCTACGAGGCTATCCCTTCCTCATAAATATTTATCATTTGTAATACAGGCAGGCTGTGTTACTGTGTTTGCGGCGGAAGCGATACTCAGAGCTTGGGAACTGCGGAGGATGCGCTAAGAACACACGCCGCAACGCACAACGTTCACCACCTGTCCGAGTAGGAAAAGTGAAGGGCCGCGGGTTCTCTATATTCGCTCTCCCTTGCACAGAGCGATCGCCCCTTTCCATACAGATTAACTTATCGCTGATGCAACAAGGCCACTCATCTATTGGTGATAACTAATGCATCCGAGCCTTAAAACGTCTTACAACATTTTAAGGCACGGATGTCGTGGAGGTATGCTGTGCACCTTTATGTATTCCTGCTGCTCCTCCTCAATCCTAAGCACATGTTTGTTTTCCTTTAAAGACTTCATAATTGTTTTAGCCTCTCAAACTATAAAGGCTCGCTTGTTGAGATATACCTCTTTTAGATTTCTTTTTTTTGTTTGAAATAAAAACAAACAAACAATTATATCGATGAAAAAACAGTGAGTGCGCAGGCGAGCTGGTGGATGTTGATAATGATGTAGGAAACCCGAGACTGTGGTAAAAGCTGGGAACCTTGGTCGAAGAAGAACGACAGGGGAAAAGAACGTCTCAAACTCAGCTACTGAAGTGGGTCTGTGTGTTTGTTTTGTTCAAGGTCCTAAGCTTTCAGTTTTGGGATTGAGGTCACCGTTTATGGTTGAGGTGAAGACTAGTGTGGGTAGGATTGTATAGATAACAAAGGTTGACCTTGTGACGTTGGTTGTTGGTGATTAGGTTGTGGATATATAAGACATTGAGGAAATAAACGCAGCAGCTGAGTTTGAGACGTTCTTTTCCCCCGTCTTTCTTCTTCGACCAAGTTTCCCAGCTTTTACCAGTCTCGGGTTTTCTACATCATGATCAATTATATTGAGTGATACTAATTTTTTTTTTTACATAACATATTGGGGCACCTGCAACTTATTCGCCTTTACACAAGCTAAAAGCATGCGGCTCCGACAAAAACACAATAGCAATGCTCCAAACCACCGTGACAGACCTTTGAAGCGCCGCATGCTGCTATTCTTTTTTTTTTTTTTCTTATCACGGTCACTTCCTCAGTAGTGACAACCGGAAGCCAGGCGAAAATATGATATAGTCATACGACACTCCGTGTGAATTGTATTTTTTTATTGCTTCAGCAAATATCGTCGCCCACCACAATCATAAATACGCGACAGCGCAGTTTGAAATGCCATGCCGGAGCACACAAACGTCGAGAATTGCAACCTGCTCTGCAATACAGCACGAGCCACGGACTTGAGATGAAACAGACCAATAATCGCTATTCATTTTAGAAAACACCAAGCAATGCGATGTTCACTTCAGCTGTAAACTGACTTAGCTTAGCATCACTCTTTTCCGCTCTCATAGAATTCAAACATTAGTCCTTTGATAAACGTCTTTGGCATTTAGGGAGTAGAGCTCACGTAACACAGGTCTGGGAGACGAGTCTTTTCAAAAGCGGAGCGCAGAAATGCCACTCCTAATTTCGTAAAACCTCACATCATTTTGCGCAAAGATTGGCTGGTGGTCCCCGCCCTCTGGTTCAGTCGCCGTCGTTTACTCCTGTAACCAGGAGTTCGGTTCAAAGACAAGACTCGATGGACACTGTACTTTGGTTGCCTATCACGCTACCAAATAACTCTTTGCATACAGGTTAACTTACAAATCTATATACATGTACCAACGCACTGAACTCAGAGGAACGAGTGATACAGTTGACGATACGCGCACACAATACGCCTTTCTCAAGTATCGTCAGGAAGACCCCCGTGTGCAGGAAACGGGGTGCACGAATATGGATGACATCTCCGTGGTCATGCACCTTTCGATTCGTGTTTAATATTTCACGCCGTGCTTGATTTGCGGAGATTATACCCGGTGCACCGTGAGATAGAGCAGGTGAGAAATATTCGACCTACACTCGATTTTGATTCGTATTTTTGGTTTGAACGCGCTTGGATTCGGCGAAAATCACAATCGTGGGAGGAACGAGCAAGACTATGTATACGGTTTTAGATTGACTATGAGAGGAAACGTCGTAGTATTCCTGATACTTCATGCCTGCGGGATTTCGGTTAAGTCCCAGAAACATTCGTGTCCGCGTTTATCGCGCCAGGAACTCTCTATAAGGATGATGAGGCGACGCGTGATAAGCAAATTTCACGCCCTGTCATCGCAGCGCTTCTTGCTTTCTTGTCTGTTTGATTAAGAATCATGTTACTGGAATCACCTTAGAGGCGCCTTTTTCGAGAAAGCACTGATTTGGAACGACTGGAAATTGGCTTCTCGATCCATCAAAGGCAACATCAGTTGTCAGATCGGGTTTACGGGAAAGCGTAATTTACGCCACGTTGCCACGAGTGACGTGGAACTGAAGGAGGCCTAAATTTAAATGAGAGAAGGGTGGATTTAGAGAGGAAAACAGAAAAGGTGAGTACCCCCTCTTTCGATGCTTTCTTTGTTATTGTTTTTTTTTTCTGTTTCTTTTTAATTAACGGCGCGGGTTCAATTTCGTTTTTTTTTTCTTCTTTTCCGCATTTGCATTTAACGGTGGAACGGCAGAACCCGCGTAGTAGAGCAAGTTTGTGGTTTGTAGCAGGCGTGTTGCTTCGTGTCTTCGGTGAGCGAGGAGGAGATCAGGTGACGACGTGTCTAAAGAGAGTTGGTTTGCCGCCTGCCACGATGCACGACCCCACATCCGCGTGCCCGGCTTGCGGGCGGGGCGTCTCTCTGCGCAGCGGTCCACTCTGGATTCCTAAAACGAAAATAAAACGAGCAATAACAGAACTCGAGGCGTTCTCGGGCGTCGACTAGGGGGAAGTGAAGCCACCTTCGCGTTGGGTCAGCGGCCGCGTTGCACATTCACGTATAGTCCGCGACCGTTTCACAAATCTCGAACCCAGGGGAAGCATGGAAGACGAGTTCGTTCGAAACTCTGGCAAGCGAACACAAAGCGTCGCGGCGCCCGGCGTGTCCTTCTTGGTCGAAACGCGTCGTCGACGCGATGGCAACTCCGCGTGGCAACCATGGTCCGGGGCAGCGCGGCGCGCAGTTCACGTCTATGTACAATTTGTTTCTTTGGCTTTCGATTTTCTTCTATGTACAGGTACTCGCCGATGAGCGTGGGTGACGACGAACGGAGGTGGAGAGAGTATTGCACTACGCCGTTGGTGCACGGGTCTGACGCCTGGGGAAGCCTAGATGGAGGATAAGCTGTCCGGCCTGTGGTCGTCGCGGTGGTGATGTCTCAGCAGGACGTCGTCCTGGTCCCGGCGCAACTTCTTAACGTCGCTTGGGTCCAGGTCGTCGTGGTCGGAACCGTCGTCGTGTCGCAGCTGCTCGGCCTCGGTGTCGTGCTTCTTCTTGGCCGTCGCCATCTCGGCGGCGTGTTTTTTCCGCCATTTCGTTCTCCGATTTTGGAACCACACCTGCAACGGACAAAGGTTAAGTTGACTAATGTAAAAATATACAAAAAAAAAAAAACAAAAAAAAACATCAACAACGAAAAACGTACGCATAGAAAAGAAAAGAAAAAACACATTAGAAAAATGTTGGTGACGATTTTACACAAATGATATTGTCCAGGGGGTTCCACGCACAAGCCAGTATTGGCTTATGTGGGATTTAAATTTGGTATATATTTTAAGAAGCAAATGAAGATTGTATTGTATTGTATTGTATTGTATAAGGGTGGCGATCCGGGTTAGTTGGTTCATACTGACGAAAAGGCAAACAGCGTACAGTAAACGGGGACCAAAAGGAAATGCAAACAGGACAAGCGCTGCCCAGTAAACGGGGACTAAAGGAAGTGCAAACAGGACAAGCGCTTGTCCTGTTTGCACTTCCTTTAGTCCCCGTTTACTGTGCGCTGTTTTCCGTTTCGTCAGTATTGTATTGTAAAAAGAGGGTCAAAAGCGTAAAAGCATGCTAGCGTCAACAAACACTAATCTTTTTTAGTTTGACATAGAACGACGTTGTCGGGGCCAGGGAAGTGCGTAAAACATTGATTAAGTGCACGTGAACAACTCTAGGCAATTGTTCCCTGCCCTAATTCAATGTCAGTAGTCTAATAAAAAAAAACTCACTTTTGGACTGCTGGCCAATTGAAAGATATCAGACTTTTTCTAGAATATATTTTGACCTTTTGAGCGACTGCGCATCACTTTACAATCATTTCCGCCAGTGCCGCTCTTGAGACCTTGAGTACTATAGCCCTATAAGAAAGTAAAAAGTTTTTAAAATCAAACTAAAGCTACCAATACAGCAATTACTTTTAAATGGTGCAGGTGTCGGAAAATCATCAGACTCCATGGGTTAAATAACGTCGAGACCATTTGCCATTAGTCGACACGTAACGCACGGCATATAAAAAATAGAAAAAAAAACCTTGACATGAACGGAGATATTTGCGTTGAAGGTGGTTGAGAGCGGTTGTGTGGTTATACAAAGGATGTTTGAGAAATAAACCAGTTAGCTGAGTTTGACACGTTCCCCTCTGCGTTTGTTCCTTCCACTAAAAATTTTCCCCCCTTTTTTGCACCACAGTCTCAGGTGTTAAACGACATGATTAGCTACCGCCAGCTCGCCTGCGCACTTCCGGTCTTTTGACATTTGAAGTTATGAAGCGAACAACTTAGATACAGCTTCTGAACCCTCCAGCCTTTTGGTGCTCACATTAGTACATCTTTGAGTCTTTGGCACAGAGTTGGTCAAACCTGACCTCCGGAAGCGAAATCTAACCGCCTCCTCAAATACTTCCCTCAAGTGGCGGCGATAACTCCAACATATAAAAATCGTCGCGGAAATTTCCACCTTCGGGAGTATAAACCTGCGCGCAAATACAAATAAAAAAAAAATTCTAGTTTGGACAGGACGAAGCGTTGTAGGTCCATAGCACGGGCCAGTTGGTTGCTAATGAAAGCCACTTCCGGGGCCGGCATCTGTTGATCGTCCTTCCGATTGGACCTGCCCCCTCCACGCGGCGGCCACCGCCGTCCCCGCAGCACCGTGAGACAAATGGGGGCCGCCCGCTGCTTGCACTATGAGCGACGGTCGGCCACGGCGCTGCGGCCGCCTCTGAGAGACCCAAATTGTCATTCCCAGGAGAGAAAGGAGACAAGCTCCATCAATGTGGTCCTCGTTTCCGAGAGAAAGGCCATTCTTTCGCTGATAGCGCGTCGTTAAGGCCGCGCGGAGAGTGCCAATTTCACGCCTATTCAGGGAACAACGTGCATGTCGAAAGCACCTCTTATTGCGATTTGAGTGGCTCCCCGTGGTTGCCAGATGAGCGGAATGTCTGCCACCGGTGGTCAATGGAACGTTTGGCGGGCGGTCTGGCTTTCATTCTTTGTCGTCTTGTCCCGGGTTGCATTGTAACGGCGTGGAAGGTCAAGCTCGGCCGATCAACGTTTACGAGCACAGCGATCTCTGTATACGGTTGTCTTTTGCTTGGCCACGGACTGCGTTGCACGTAGCATCTTTTTGTGTGGGAGTTGAGTGGTCGGAGATTTTGTAGAGGGTTGGCATGCCCGAATGAAGATGGACGCGCGTGCGGCCTTCAGACGGAAAGATCCCAACGCCCTCGTTTACGTCCCGCAAGTTTACTATTTCTGATGTTTCGGCGAGTGATCTGACAGCAGATGCTTCCCGTTAAGAAGGAAGTTCTAAAGTCAAACAAAATTTATATATCTACATAAACAAAATAATGTAATGGTTAACTATTCTTGGTCTTAGAGTCCTTGGCGCAGCGTGCTCAGAATCTAAGAGGGATCGAGGTCAGGTTCCCTCGTAAAGTCTGAGTGCGCTACGGTTTGAGGAATTTCCTGATTATCTCCATTCGAGCGATAGTAAAGTAAGAAACACTGTTTCGATAGCGCCCACTTGTTTATTTTCGGTTCCTGTTATGAGCTTTAGCGGTCACGTATTTCAAAGCAAACTGCGGACGTTTGAATAACATTGGAAGCTGTGAAACATACGTATAAGCGATTTCACACAGAGTACGCATGAACGGTCATCGGACACGTGGGATTGTGCCAACACGTTCAGAGCGTGGGGTTCACACATGTGCCCACTCAAACATGTCTCCGCGTTTTGTAGAAAAATGAACTCCATGACTCTTTTTTTTTTAGAGTACGGCCCACGCAGATGCACACGCGCCGCATTTATAGGAATCAATCGAATGGAGAAAAGAATGAGAGGAGCGGCTTACTTTTACTTGACTTTCGGACATGCCAAGGGCGTAGGCAAGTTTTGCTCTCTCGGGTCCTGCGAGATACTTGGTCTGCTCGAAGGTCTTCTCTAAAACGTAGATCTGGTGTCCGGAGAAGGTGGGCCGGGTGTGCTTCTTCTTTCCGTCCTTGTCCAGGCAGTTCTGAGCCACTGCGCACAAGTAGAGAACGACAGGCGCCCTTAGTGAAAGGCCTTCTTTGATACGGCTTAGCACCCAATGTATCATCGTCAGAATGACGTGCTAAAAATTCTGCAACGGTGAGCAATGAAACTTGGACCAACCCTCACAGCACCCATGCTAAAAGAAGAAAATCTAATCAGTTGTTTTGTTACCAGAAACTGAGTTCTAACTCATCAACCCCCACCAAGATAGGAATGATTCGGGGGTCTAAACAAATCTCAATTCATGAATTGGGAATAATATATGCGAGTTAATGTAAAGATTAGTTAGCTCGTATGAAAACACAATATGCTCATTGTGCAGTTTTCTTTTTCACTTTTCTTTTATGCGCGTTTTTACAAAATGTTATCGGTATTTAATTTCACAATTTTATGATGAAGTCTTATCGGCAAGTTGTGCGGAGCATCACGAACACGGCAGACGAACTTTGGCAGTGACATGATGCACGATTGAGCGTGCTACCGAATCATCATCGTTGTTATGCTTGGGAGCGCAACATGCCTAGTGTTACCAGTGCTTGGTTGCAATATTGAGAAAAAAAAAAAAAAAAGAAGTCCCTTCTTCTTTTTTGGGTAACGACTGAACATGAATACTTTTTTTTTTTAATGTAGTAAACGCGTAACATAAACGATTTTAGGCATTCTTACTTCCACGAGTGAAACGTTTACGGAGTAGAAACTGATAATGAGCTCTATATATGCGTGTACTATATGGTAGAATGCGATTGTTTTCCATAGAACTACTGAATAAACTAAAATCAATCAAAAGCATAAGATTTCCTCATGATTTAGAATGCATCTTGAAATCAAGAAGTTGGATGTATCTGTTGTAAACATTTTTAGCGATCTGATTGTCTTTCGACATAGGCTTGAGTCAATTATGTGTACATAGTTATGACCTTGTTTGTTGCCTGCATTTATTCTTGTTGACGAGCGGTGTACCACTATCTACGCCCTTTGCTGTTTTTGAACACCCAACAAAAATAAAGATTTATTATTATTATTAACCTAGGTCAGTTAGACGTGGTCTACTTTGACCTAAGCAAGGCATTTGACGTTGTAAATCATATCCTGTTATCAAAGCTCTCCGCCTAAGGGGTTTGTGGCACAGAATACGGCTAGTTTCAAAGCTATTTGTCAAACAGGAAAGCGTACGTTCGAGTCAACAATAGGAACTCTTCATTGTACGGGGAAAGTTCTGGCGTTCCTCACGGATCCGTCCTAGGACCGCTCCTGTTCACAATTTTTGTAAATGACGTCTCTGATGCTATTTCGAATTCTTCGTTCCTGCAATACGTTGATGACATTAAAATTTACAAAGAAATAGTTACTTAAGATGATTGCGCTAGGCTTCAGGAAGATGCATGTTCTTTCTTTAGGCGGTGCACAGCCACTAATCTTCTCTTAAACCCCGATAAAACCAAGGTTATGACATTTACTCGGAAGGCACATAATACTTTTTTTGCATATACTATTCATGGGGAACCCCTGTCCCGGGTACGTGTGAAGAAAGATCTCGGAGTTATGTCCGATCCTAGCCTGCGATTGTCTAGTCACGTAACTAGGCTCGTTAACTCGTCTCTGCGCATGCTGGGTGTTGCCTCTCGCTTAACGAAGGGCTTCAAGCATCCTTCCGCGTTTCTCACGTTGTACCGCTCGTTATGCATGCCCCAGTTAGAGTATGCCTCAGTTGTGTGGATTCAAATCTCTAAAACTAACTCATGGAAAATCGAACGAGTTCAGAAAAAGTTTATTTCCATCATTCAACATCGCTACCTTATGAAGGATGTTCATTGTTCAACTTATGACGCAACGTTAGAGCGTGTTGACTTGCCAAGTCTGCACCGGCGTCGGCAGAAGGCGGACCAATTGTTTTTGTTTAAAACGTTGCATGGTTGGATTAATTCACCAAGCCTCTTGTCTGAAGTGTGCCTTAGTGTTGCACGTGTGTCTATTCGGAATCAACCATCATTTTATATCTACAAACATTTTTGTCTTTTAAGCCCAATTATTTCATTGACTGAGTGTTATAACCAGTAAAACGTTGCATGGTTGGATTAATTCACCAAGCCTCTTGTCTGAAGTGTGCCTTAGGGTTGCACGTGTGTCTATTCGGAATCAACCATCATTTTATATCTACAAACATTTTTGTCTTTTAAGCCCAATTATTCCATTGACTGAGTGTTATAACCAGTACTCTGAGAAACTCTATATTTTTAACTCGTGCTACAGGGCATTTTTCATTTCTGTTGAAGATCTGTCCGGCGGGTGGATGATGATTGTGGTTCATTTAAGAGTGATTTCGGAGAGCACAGACATTTTTGAGTCTGTGCTTGTGCTGCTGCTTCGTATATTATTCGTTTGGAGTGTCTCTGAAACTTGTTTTTACATTACTGCAATTTGTCATCATTGTACTCAATACCTAGAAATTGTATTTTGTTATAATTCAGCTCAGTGTATGTCTCGTATGATTATATTCAGTTACTATAGTGCATTGCTCTTCTGCATTTGTATATTTTATGTATTCATTTCCATCCAGTGTGCCAGTACCATGACCATAAAGTTGTTCCTGGGCACTATAACAAACATTGACTGATTGATTGATTGTTATTATTATTGAACTATCACGTGGAAACAACGGGGATCTAGAGCAGTTCAAAGATCCGCAAGGAGAACAGAACGCCAAGGGCTTACTCGGCCTATGTTGGTCCTCGCTGTGCTCATTAACACTTTTAAGACGGAGGTCACACAAAGCTGGTGCCCTATAGATTTGCTTGCTAGGAAAAACATCAGATACCAGTTTGAATAATATAGTTATAAAGCACCCTCTTATCTTCAAGGTCACTTAACTACTGACTGAGTTCAGATTAAATGTTTATTAAACTGAGAACAGCAGACGTAAATGATCTTCGGGTTAATCATAAAACTCTCTCTCTCTATGTATACATATATCTATTCCGTTTTCATATTTGTTCCCGATATTTTTGTGCCCGTCAAAGCCAAAGTAATACTAATAATAAGAGTAATAATAATTTATTGTTATAAACACGGGACTTGTTTAGAGAAACGACTGAAACAAAGCCAGCAAGAGGCTTGTGGGATGGCATCCTCCAGTGAAAAGTAAAGCATAACCTTGGGCAGAAAAATAAAAACAACCATACAGACGTATAAGGCACACCTTATACGTATATCGCATACAAGCTACGCCAAGAGTGCATGCACTGATAAAAAAAGCAAATGTTTGCGCCATAAACCCCCGCAATCAACAAAAGCAAGCATCCGAAAAAAGGAACGAAAAATCCCCTGCACAAAAATAAAAAGGTTTCGCGTACTGTTGAAAAAAAAAACACGAAACCTTATAGTAAAAAAAAAAAAGAAGTCACACCTGGCTCTGACAAATATAAATATACTACACACTGACTCAAGCGCACGTACGAAGATGTCCAGAAATGACACCTCTTAAGAAACAAATAATAGACAGACACTCAATAAAGAGCCTACAGAAGACACTAATTAGAAATTAAAAACTTCTGAGCACTTTCCTTATTTATGTCTGCGAAGTATAGGTTCAAAAACTGAGGAGATAGTTCAGAGAAGACCCGAGGAAAATAATGAGTTCACGCACTTTTACATTTAAAGTACGAACAAGGGGTATCTTAAAATATAGGTGTAAGGAATGGCACGAGAGGGTGATGTTAATGTTCTCTATTCAGTATCCTACTTGGTATCAAAAAAAAAATTAATCAATAATTTTGAAAATAAACTATTAACCACTGGAATATTTCTAGACTTTAGAAAAGCGCTTGATTCCATTAAACATGATATATTGTTTTATAAACTACCGTTTTATGAAAATCGAGGTATTGCTTTAGATTTGGTACGTAGTTACTTATCTTGTCGGTCACAATATACGTGCTTTAATGGATACCGGTCCAAGCCAGAACAAATTTCGCATGGGGTTCCAGAGGGGTCTATTTTAGGTCGTCTGTTTTTTATCATTTATATTAATGATATTGTACGTATACCAAACACTCCTGAAATACTCTTGTATGCCGGCAATGCAAGTTTTTTTCTCTGGTCCATTTTTACGTGATTTTGAAGTTAGGGCTAACACGTGGCTCAAAGAGTTATCGAACTGGCTTGACTCTACTCAACTTCAGTTAAATGTTACGAAAACAAAATATGTAAGTTTTAAACCACGAAGTAAACCCGACGACTGCGAAATTCGTTTAAAATTCCAAGACATTATGATCGAGCGTGTCAACGTTTATAAATTTTTAGGAGTTCTTTTTTTTTAAATCTAAGCTGGACACCTCATATAAATAAAATGCATGCAAACATTTTGGGATCTATTGATATTTTATACAGAATTAGATTGCTGGTTCCATGCTGGTTAAAACGTTAGTTGTACTACATTTTAGTGTACTCTCATCTCCTTTACTCTTTATTAGTTTGGGGTTCAACAACTGAAGCAAATATTAATAGGTTGTTTCTTTTGCAAAAAAAGCATTGCGTTGTAAGAAAACTTTTAGCGTACTGACCACATACCACAGTCCATTTTAAACACGGTTTTCTTACCATCAGTCAAATATTCATTCTTAAACTTTCAATGCATTTCTATAACGAAATAATTAGTGACCCCACCCATTTCTTACGCACTTCTTTCTAGTAATACGCGATACAATCGTCGACACGGCTCCTACATAATACCTTGGTCTAGGACGAATTATGGACATAATCAATTAGCATACTTGATACCTGATTTCTTAAATAAGCATCAAGCCGTCAGGGAAATAATCTAAGATTGTGCATCAAAACACAGCTTTAAAATTAGTATAAAGCAGTACCTTCTGTCATGTCACGTTGAGTAAATACTTTTAGATTGAAGTTTTAATTGCGCATGAGTTGTATTACCTGGTTCCTTTATTTCCAAAGTGTTAAGAAGTGCACTAACAATTGTATAAGTTGTG